TTGGTGCAGAGCTGAGTTCAAGTCCTGGATATCCTTGTTAATCTTCTATCTCATTGATCTGTCTAATATTGACAGTGCGGTGTTAAAGTCTCCCATTATTATTGTGTGGGAGTCTAAGTCTCTTTGAAAGTCTCTAAGGACTTGCTTTATGAATCTGGGTGCTCCTGTATTGAGTGCATATATATTTAGGATAGTTAGCTCTTCTTGTTGAATTGATCCCTTTACCATTAGGTAATGGACTTCTTTGTCTCTTTTGATCTTTGTTTGTTTTATCAGAGACTAGGTTTTATCAGATAAAATGTGTTTTATCAGAGACTAGGATTGCAACCCCTACTTTTTTTGTTTTCCATTTGCCTGGTAGATCTTCCTCTATCCCTTTATTTTGAGCATCTGTGTGTCTCTGTGCATGAGATGGGTCTCCTGAACACAGCACACTGATGGGTCTTGACTCTTTATCCAATTTGCCAGTCTGTGTCTTTTAATGGGAGCATTTAGCCCATTTACATTTAAGGTTAATATTATTATGTGTGAACTTGATCCTGTCATGATGTTAGCTGGTTATTTTGCTGCTTAGTTGATGCAGTTTCTTCCTAGCATCGATGGACTTTACATTTTGGCATGTTTTTGCAGTGGCTGGTACTGGTTGTTCCTTTCCATGTTTAGTGCTTCCTTCAGGAGCTCTTGTAGGGCAGGCCTGGTGGTGACAAAATCTCTCAGCATTTGCTTGTCTGTAAAGGATTTTATTTCTCCTTCACTTATGAAACTTAGTTTGGCTGGATATGAAATTCTGGGTTGAAAATTCTTTTTTTTTTTTTTTTTGAGACGGAGTCTCGCTCTGTAGCCCAGGCTGGAGTGCAGTGGCCAGATCTCAGCTCACTGCAAGCTCCGCCTCCCAGGTTCACGCTATTCTCCTGCCTCAGCCTCCCGAGTAGCTGGGACTACAGATGCCCGACACCTCGCCCGGCTAGTTTTTTGTATTTTTTAGTAGAGACGGGGTTTCCCCATGTTAGCCAGGATGGTCTCGATCTCCTGACCTCGTGATCTGCCTGTCTCGGCCTCCCAAAGTGCTGGGATTACAGGCTTTAGCCACTGCGACCGGCCTGTGTTTATTTTTTAAATTAGGTGAGATTTTTAAATTCCAAAAAAACATTCAAATACTGACATGAGAAGATAGAGAAACCCTGAATAATCCTTAAGGGTGAACCGTGAACAGGAGGCCTAGGCTGTCTCCTATATTCCATCCTAGGAAGACGATGTTGCTTTTATTTTCCTCCAGCACTGTTTCTTCAGTCAGAGTAGACTTAGATCAATGAGAAATGCTGCATTTCAGGCATTGTTTATTGTGAAAGCTTTGCTTGGGGAACTGCACCTGAACTGGGAGGGCAGTGAATGGTGTATGGACACTGAATGACGACATGATTAGGATCATGTAAAAGACTGTTAGGAAAGCAAGGCTTTCTTGAACTAACATGGACATGGAGGTGTCCTCCAATGTTGTAAGATGTTCTGGATCAGACAATGATACATGAACATTTCAAGGTGAACCTCATGCACATTAACTTCAATTCCCAAATAGCGATGCTACTGAATGGTGGTGTGAAATGTTAGACTGCTGCTGGACATCTCTCACCCCACCAATAACACTGAAAATGCTGAACATGCTTTTTCTTTGTCCTTTCATAAATCTACGTTAATTTAGAGTCAAGTGAAAGCCTATTGTGTCTCTGAGTTTTATTGCCCATAAGAATCTGCAACTGTTGCTGGTGGCCATGCAGTCCTCTAATTGTCTATGAAACCAAATTAAAATTTTAAAAACTTTTGCAAAGAAAATCCCAGGCAAATGACTTTTTCTGGGACATTCTAGCTAATACTTAAGGAGGAAACCAATCTTATACAAATTCTTCCAAAGAATAAATAATGAGGGTATCATCTCCCAAAGCCCTGCCCAGAACTCTAAAGTGAAGCCAGAGTTGAGGGTGCTCCTCCCCCAGTGTCAACCTGGTTCCCACCTCCCAGTGTGGGAGAAAAGCAAAGCGGGTGAGCTGGGAGGAGTGCAGGCTTTGGGGACAGGCCATTCTCCAGGTGCCAGCCTGCACACAGGGCCAACAGTGCCTGGCAGAGAACCACAGGGCTTAGTAAGCAGAGGCCACACAAGCCCCAAGGTCAGATTTGAATGGGAGCCAATGTGGCCAGGTGGGCAGGGGGCCTGGCTGAGGTGCCCAGAAATCCTATCAGCACCACTGGGTCCCCTAGAAGAAGCTCAAGTTCCCAAAACAGCTCGGGGTTAGAGGTTAGGGATTAGTCAGACCTCACCTTGGACAGCAGCCCCAGCCCTGTCTCAGCCCCAGCGACACCAGGGCATGGGGCTGTCACAAGGAAGTAGATGGCTCAAGGCCAGGTGCCTGTGCCTTGGCTGAGGGACAGGGCTCAGGTCAGTTTGCTCCATGACTCCTGGGACCCTACAGACTTCCTTCCCCGTTCTGCTGCAGCCCAGTGCACAGCACGCTGCTCTGCTGTGCCAGGTTGTGTTGTGTTGAGTTGTGCTGTGCTGTGTCATGTGCTGTGTTCCTGCAGACTCCCTGTCTGGGAGCTCTAGGGCCCTGGCCTCTAAGAAGCCCCAGCCCCAAGTCAACCTCAGGCAAGGCCTGCATCCCTGCTGCCTCCGCTTCCCTGGCTCAGCCTTGAAGCTCCCGCTGACCCCCTCTGACACTCACCTACCACCCATCATCCCCACTTAGAGGCCAGGAAGCAGCAGGGGCCATCTCCCCCTTCTCTCTTCTCTCTATCCTCCAGGACACACAAGTGCAACAGAAACCAGAAATCCTGCAAACGCTCTGACCCACCCACTGACCCCAGGGCACCTACTGCCCAGGTGTTTGGCACAGGGGATGCCCCCACACTGGCCCCATCATGTACCCTCGTGGCCCCCAGGCTGCAGCACAGGATTCCTGTCTGGCCCTGGACATACCCTGGGCCCTGCTCTCTGCCACACCTCACAGGACAAACCCAAACAATTACTGTCCTCCCTCTGAAATGGTGGGTGTAGGGAAGGCCTCGCAACCTTCCTGTGCCTAGGCCCCTCACCCCCACACTCTGGCTGGCTGCATCTGCTGCCCAGAGCCCCTGCTCACAAGGCGTGCAGCCCGGACCACGGTGATGGCAAGGGAGGCCCTTCCTAAGCCTAGAGATGGTCTAAACCTTCATGGAACTGCTGGTCCCAGTGCCAGCCAGAGTCCCAGGTGAGGCTGAGATGGCTCAAAGTGGTGCATGGGAGATGTCTGATATCAACCCTCTCCTGGAGGTAGATGATGTCTCCAGCCTGGTGACTTCCCTGGCCTCCAGCTATCACCACCCCCAGTGTCCCTAAGGCTGAAGGTGCAAGCCTGCCCTGGCCCTAGCATAGAAAGTGCACAACCTGGTCATGTCGTGCAGGTGAGGATACCTGTGTGCCAGGTAACTTCAGGTGGGCATGGTGGCGCATGTGGGGCAGTCCTGTAACCTGCAGTGTGGTTGGTGGGACGGATGTGTGTGACACAGGCAGGAACTTCCCCTGATGGCAGTTGAGGACCCACATGTGTATCGGGTGGGCGCCGATGGGAGTGGCTGGGCACGGGCAGGTGAATGAATGACAGTTACACAAACTCCACCACTGAGTACGTCACTCCCAGGGCAAAGCACATCACAGCCACAGGCCCAGTCCTGGGAGGCCCAGAGGGGCCTGGGGTCCCCAGGAAGCCTCCTGGCCCTCTTTACCCTAGGAGGACCCCCACTCCTTCTAAAGAACCCCTGCCCCCGCAAGCCGGCTCCACCTGTAGCTGTGGGCGTGGGAGGGGCACAGAGTGCTCTGTGGGCCAGAGAAGGAAGGAAGATGGACGGAGGGCGGACCTCTGCTCCCTGACTCTGCTGCTGGGCCCTCTGCGGCCCTCCTGGAGCCCACACCTTTCAGCTGCAGTCTCCCAGCCTTTGTCCCCAGGACGAAGGCCACTAGGCCAGTGCTCTTCCACTGCAGCTTTATGTTCCCCTTGGGGAGGGTTCCCAGATTGTGCAAAGTGAGGAAGGATCCCCTATCCCTGTCCCGCAGGGCCCCCACTCCAGGCCTCCCCTATCTCTCCCTGTCTCTCTCAGAGGCAGAGGCAGCATTAAATTAAAATTTAATTTAAATATTAAAAAGAAAGTAAAAAATTCAAATATACACCAACAGTAGACTGCTCTGGCTTGCATACAAAGAGGTCCATTGCCCCTTTGGGTGGGCCGGGCAAGGTCAGGGTCTAAGAAGCGCCTCTGGTGGGGGGGGGGGGGGTCAGGCTCTGACGGCTGCGGGAGGAGTGACTCCTCCCAGGATGAGGGTCTCTGTCCTCCCAGCGCTCACTCAAGTTCCGTATTTCCAAGTCCTTCCACGGAGTTTAACGCACATGAGAACGCCCATTTGTGTCACAGATAACGTGGCCGCATGCATTTCCAAGAAATGTCCTTGGCGAACTACAGCTGGCACAGTCCAGCCCAGGGCGTTCTGTGAGCTGTAGTCTCCGGCAAGTGCATTCCAAAAAAACCTCAAATACCACAGAAGCTGGACAGCGTAGCAGCAGGGTTTGGCAAGAGAGGAGCTCTTTTGCTAGCAAAGGCGAGAGCTCGCGCGGTACCAGTAAGGTCTCCCCACGCCCCCAGAAAGAAATATTGGTGTGAGCGCACGCTGACCCAGAAAGAGTCTGCCATGGCCGCACGGTTTTCTGGGAAGTGTAGTTTCTTGGTCCCGGCGCTATTGTCCTCAAAAGTAGAGGGTAGCCCTTGGTTCCGAGGTGTATCTTTCACCACAGGATGACTGTGTGCCCCAGGACACTTCGCGCGTGGTCCTAACTGGCCGGTTCTGGGACAACAGTCCCAGGCGGTTTAGTTTCTTAGGAAACCTAGACCTGTTTGCCCGCGGCGCGCCAGGTCCGCGCGGCCGCAGAGACTCCTGGGAAGCGTGGTCTTCCGGTGCCAGCGGTTCGCGGATGATTCTGGGAAATGTCGATCGGCTGTGGGCTGCGCACTGGGTCCGTCCCGCGGTAGCCTCAGGCCTGACGGCGACTCCTAGGCTCAGGGACGATTCTGGGCAGTGTCGTTCCCGGAGGTCGGCGGCCGTTGCCCGCTCACCAGCGACGCGGGGCGTGAGGTCCGCAGAGGTGCGGGCTCGGGGCGCCTGCGGGGACGGTGAGGCCCCGCTGAGGACTCCGGCTAGTGTGAGTCCCGGGGGCGGCGGCGGGGCTCAGGCCCTGGGTCTGCCCCGCGGTGTGACCCCGGCCGGTGCCCTGGCTTTTCCTGGCCTTCTTGTCCTCCTGTGTAAACGCGGGGTGATGACGGCGCCGACATCTTGGCGCTGTTGTGAGAGCGAAGTGGGCGCGTGAGCAGACGCCAGCCGCAGTTGTCTTTGGGTTATGTCGTCATGAAGCCGGCGCTTTGCAGTTGTGTAACCTTGAACAAATGGGTTCAGTGTCTTGGAATTTCAGTTTTGTCATTGTTTAAAAAGAAATCTGGAATAAAGTGAATGCCGACTATGCATAGTAATGAAGATCGAACGAGCTGATAGTTGTTACCGTTGTTTTATGAGGTTTTTATGTACAGAATAATTGATTTTCCCCGCAGGTGGCACCTGGTAAACGGTTAGCCCTTGCGGAGAAACAACCTGTTAGTTCCCAGGGAGAGATTGACGCCCTGGAGAGTGATTACCAGTGTGCTTTTCCATTATGGTGTGTCACAGGTGCCGCAAGATAAACCTGATTTTTCATGACTGCTTTTCCCTGCCCTTCTGTGCCCTCAGGACACTGCCCATCTCTAAGATAAGAACCTGGCAAGAGGACTCTGTTGGCTGTTGGGAAATTGCAGAGTAATGTCTCAGGTAAGTCAATGTGTCCCCAAATCTTCCTGAAACACTTTATCAGGACTGTGTGTTTGCTTTGCTTCTCCTGCCTGTTCCCACCTAATTAAGTCTATTTAAGGGATTGAATCTATGGTTCCATCCATATATATAGGAAGGATGGAGCCCACAAGGTATTGTCCTCCTCACCCAGTGGTCCTCTTTTCTACAGTTTTCTGCTAGAAGACTTTCTAGTCTTGCCAACGTTTTAAAACTACAATTCACAATGCAGCTTTGGAATGTAAGGTTATTTGCTTTATGATTGTCAAAACTGTACCATGTAGTCTCAAGTGAAGAGATGTTTGCCGACATCCTTGATTCTCCCTTTGACTTATAACTCTTACTCAGATCCTCTAGTTGGAGCTAAGTTATATGCTGTATACAGAATCTGACCCTTAGTTACCCCATCACTACCACCACCACTACCACCCCGGTAGTGCTAGCAATAAAGCCACCTGGATTATTGCAGAATCCTAGCTGGATTCCCTCCATCTGCCCTTAACCCTTATCGGTCTGTTCTTAGTACAGCTGTTATTGTGACCCTACTGTTATATCAATTCCTATCATTCCTCAACCTAAAAGTTTTCAGTGGCTCTGAGTTACTTCTGCAATGACCTGTTTGTACAATTAGGCCATTACCTCTCTGATCCCACCTTCCTTCTCTGCTTCCTCATTCCTGTGAGCTCCAGCCACTGTCACCAGTTGCTGTGCCATCCACGTGGAATATTCTTCCCCGACATAGGCACAAGCTTGCATTCTTATCTTCTTCGTGTGTTTGCTCCGTGGTTACTTCCTCAGAAAAGCGTCCCTGAACGCCTATTTGCAATTGCGGTCATCTTCCCTCGCCTAGCACTTCCACTCCTCCATCACTGCTTTGTTGTTTTCCACGGCACGTGTTACTCACTAGCTGATGTACTGTATATTCAGTATACGCACATGCTCATTGTTTGCCTCGTCCTGGTGGGAGAAATGTTTTTTCTTTTTTGTTGTCTGTTATAGCTTCAGTACCCAGAGTGGTACCTGGCACCAAATAGATGCTTAGTAAGTAATTGTTGAGTGAATAAGATGAGTAATGAAGAACTGATGGGGCAGAATCATGGCATGGAACGTGAAGCTCGCACAGGAGAGAACATGAGTAGCAGATGTACATGTTGGGTGAAGTCTGTTTTCTTGGAGAAATTAGATAATTAGAATCGAAAAACTGGTGTGGTGGTACATGCCTCTTTTTCCAGCTATTCGAGAGGCCGATGAGTTGAGAAAATTTCTTGAACCCTGTGGTATGAGGCTTCATGAGCTATATTTATGTCACTGCACTCCAGCCTGGCGACAGCAAGAAAAAAGTAACAACTAAAGTGAACTCATGCCAAATTTTTCATTGGTTCATCTTCTAAACACTTGTGAAGTACCTGTTAGGAAAAGTTGTAGATGAATTTCGGTGTACACCGACACACAGGACTTCATGTTCTAATACAGTATTGTCTAAGAGAACTTTCTGCAGTGGTGGAAGTGTTCTGCACATGTGCTGGTCAGTACGGTAGCCACCAGCCCTGTATGACTATTGAGTCCTTGAACTGTGGCTTAAGCAACTGAGGAACTGAATTTTAAATTTTATTTATTTTATTTTTACATTTTAATTAATTTAAATGTATGTAGCCAAATTGCCTAGTGGCTACTGTATTGAGGATTGCAGCACTGGTAGAAAAGTAAGAAAGCATAAGAAGTTAAAATAAGTGCTAGGACAGATATCCTATGTTCTTTTGGGGACAGAGATGAGTGAACACCCCAGGCTGCCCAGGCAACTGAAGGGGAAGAACTTGTAATCCCTGGCTCTAACTTGTAATAACCTGTTCATCATAAAGCTATGATAAATGTTTTTTTGATTTGGGATAAAGGGAATTAACTAACACAGTGGCAACTACAATTAACAGATGAATTTAGGATAAATTATGTGTAGCAAATTGAACTGTCAGGTCTTACTTGATTATTTGGAAAATGGATGTATTGGATTGTATCTGCTTGGCTATAAAAAAGATGAGATTTCTTCCTGTCCTTTTAATCTCATTAGTGGATTGCCTGTGAAGTACATCACAATTGATTTAATGCTTATTAAGTAATAAAACTGTGTTCTTTTTTTTCTACATTTGTGGAGAGGATTTTCTGCCATTGGCAGGAGATTTGAATTTTAATTATTTTCCCAACACCTGGGAAAAGTAAATTCTGCCTTTAAAACCAAAGACCAGTATCACTGGTGAATATGCATGCAAAATATCCAAATAATGTAATACAATACTGAATTAACTGTCAGACCTAAAAAATTACCAGAGGCAAGCAATTTGTTTCACAAATCAAAGACAGTAATAATGCTGTATTAAATTGATATATTTTTTGTACATAATATAATTTAACTAGCCAATAAACTACTATTGAATATTGAAGCTTCCAAAGTTTTACTATTTTAAGTAATATTGTGAAATGAGTACTATTGAAAGGAATTTCTAAGCACATCTGTGAGCATTTCCTTAGAGTATTTTCTTTGAAATGTACCCTTTTATTTTTTTCCCTTTCCTTTCAGGTCCTATTTAAGGACTATCTAAGACAGTGGTCCCCAACCTTTTTGGCACCAGAGATCAGTTTTGTGGAAGACAGTTTTCCCACAGAAGTGGGAGGTGGTGTTCTGAGGATAAAACTGTTCCACCTCAGATCATCAGGCATTAGTTCAGTTCACATAAGGGGTGTGAATTGATCCCTTGCACGCGCAATTCACAGTAGCGATTGTGCTCCTATGAGAGTCTAATGCCATAGCTGATCTGACAGGAGGTGGAGCTCAGGTGATAATAGTCATTTGCCTCCCAATCATCTCCTGCTCTATGGCCCAATTCCTAACAGGCCACAGACTGGTACCAGTCTGTGGCCCAGGGGGTTAGAGATACCTGATCTATGATATGAAACCATCCTTCAGTCTTTTCACTCAGGGGTCTCATATTTTAATTATTAAATGTCTGTCAGTACAAAGTTTAAGTATACACCATAAATATATTTTTCTTTTTTGTTTATGAATCAGTTATATGTATGTTTTAGTCCATTGGTGCTGCTGTAACAATACCACAGACTGAGCAATTTATGAACAATAGAAATTGACCTCTCATGGTTTTGTAGCCTGGGAAGTCCAAGATCAAGGGGCAGGCATCTGGCAAGGGCCTTCTTGCTGTGTCCTTTTATGGTGGAAGGGTGAAGAGAAGAGAGAGAACCAAAAAGGGGCTCAAATGCATTTATTAAATAAGCCAGTCCTAATGATGATGACATTAATCCATTCATGAGGGCAAAGCCCTCAAGGCATAATCATCTCTTAAGGTCTTACCTCTCAAAACTGTTACAATGGCGATTAAGTTCAGTACATGCTTTTTGGGGGTCACAATCAAACCATAACAGTGTATGTCTATCAGTCTTTAATATAAAGATTTTTTTTTATTTTTGAGACAGAGTCTTGCTCTGTTACCCAGGCTGGAGTGCAGTGGCACAACCTCCGTCTCTTGAGTTCAAGCCATTCTCCTGCCTCAGCCTCCTAAGTAGTTGGGATTACAGGTGTGAGCCACCACACCTGGCTGCCCATTTTTTGTGAGCCTTAGTGGATCATCCTGAGTATCCCATTTGAGAGACAATCGCTTTAGCCTCATTTTTTTATTTACTTACCTAGCACTTAAGCTGTAAAAGGTATAACTAAATACTTGACCCTGTGCTGTCAAATGTCAAATACTGATTTTTTAAAATTCGTGTATTTCTGTAACTTTTAGCAAAATTAACTCTCCTGAAGCAAAGCTCTCGTATTTGTTTCTCACCCTTATTGTATAATAATTCTAATCACATACCTGTCCCCCTTATGGTATAGTAATTCCAACTACATACTGTCCTATTATTACTTAACTGAGATCACATTCCCAATCATTGCCACAATTCCTGAATCTTATTCCATTTCTCCCACAACCAGGCTAATTTTACCCTTTCTTCAGTGACAGAAGAGGCCTGGGCTATGCATGAGCCTAAATATATTTGCTATTTCAGGTGACATTTAGTGATGTGGCTATAGACTTCTCTCATGAAGAGTGGGGATGGCTCGATTCTGCTCAGAGGGACTTATACAAGGATGTGATGGTCCAGAATTATGAGAACCTGGTCTCTGTAGGTAAGGATATCACCCCTTCCACTCCATTAGGGGCTCTTTTGCCACTCTGAATTGCTGGAGATCCTCCTAAGTAAATGGCTGAATTTCTGTAGCATGTTCCCAAAGAAATGTGCGGCTCTGTTGTGCCCCTGAAGCTTATCTTTCCATTTCAGTGAACACCCTTTATCCCTTCCTGTGGTCCCTCATGTGATGCCTCTCATAATAGAGGATCACAGCTTAAACAATTCTATATTCTTCCTGTAAGCAGGTCTTTCTGTAACTAAGCCATATGTGATCATGTTATTGGAGGATGGAAAAGAGCCCTGGATGGTGGAGAAAAAACTGTCAAAAGGTATGATTCCAGGTGAGTCATGGTGAACGAGACTAAGGAAGATTTTGTTAAAGATGTTTATAGAGAGTGTGGAAGCATTTTAGGGATACTGTCTTCAAAGATCTCAGATAGAAATGAAAAATTGAGGGATATTTAGCTTAGATTTTCAAAACAATTGTTCCTCTATCCCAAATTATTATCTGTGTTACTCATGTCATCTAATCAGGGTTAGAGGTTTTTGCCATCATAATAATTCAATTGTTACTCTGTTCATGACAAAGTAAGGCAAATTATTCTTTCTTAAATCTACTTAAAGAAAAACCTACTGATAGTTTTAGGCTAAGAAAAGCTGTCAATTAGATGAGAAATCACTTTTCTAAAGCTGAGCCTTATAGATGAAATATGAACATATTAGAGGAAAAAACGAACATATATAAAGATGTTTCTAGGAATAATATTTTCTAATGTCCGGTAAATGACATGATTCACACAGTTTCTTCATAACCTCAGAAAGCCTAAATCTTTGTCAGATATAAAGAGCATTTAGATCATTTTGTTTTTACTGAAACTGTTTAAAGTAGAAATATCAATTCTGTATTTTAAGTGTGTTAATCTGGCAGCAAATTGAGATTAATTGAATGTTGGAGAAAAAGGCTATGAGACAAAATGCAGTCTTTCACACATGAATATAGGCACAAAATGATGGCTTGGAATCCAGAATGCCTTCCACATTTTATTTTGATAATTTCCTTTTTTTCCATACTATTTCATCCATTACATATATTTTTCCCATTTCTGTTATCACACTCTGTTCCTACTTCTGTGAACTTTGTATTCTTTGCTCCATTTGTGCATTTTTCAGAAATCATTGAAATATTGGAGTTGTCAGAGCTATGTGTTTTGTGGGGGCTTCATTTCTAATCCAGTTCTCCTAATTCCACTATAGAAGTTACTTTTCAAGAAGTAAAAAAAAAAAAAAAAAAGCAGTGCTTTACTTTCTTGATGTATTTCAGATTGGGAATCAAGATGGGAAAGCAAGGAATTATCAACAAAGAAGGATATTTATGATGAAGATTCACCCCAAACAGTAATAATAGAAAAAGTTGTAAAACAAAGTTACGAATTTTCAAATTCTAAGAAGAATTTGGAATATATAGAGAAGTTGGAAGGGAAGCATGGAAGTCAGGTAGAGCATTTCAGACCAGCAACTCTCACCTTTAGAGAAAGCCCCACTCCAGACAGTATTTACACCTTTCATTCAAAGTCTACTCTTTTTGAAACACAAAAAATTTCTGCTGAAGGGAATTCACACAAATATGCTATATTAAAGAAGAACTTAACAAAAAAGTCAGTTGTAAAAAATGAGAAAATCAGTGGTGGAAAGAAACTTTTGAATTCTAGTATAAGTGGGGCAGCCTTCCACCAGAGCAAATCTCTTACCCTTCACCAAACTTGTAATAGAGAGAAAATCTATATATGCAGTGAATGTGGGAAAGCCTTTGGCAAACAGTCAATCCTCAATCGCCATTGGAGAATTCACACAGGAGAGAAGCCCTATGAATGTCGTGAATGTGGGAAGACTTTTAGCCATGGCTCATCTCTTACACGACATCTGATAAGCCATAGTGGAGAGAAACCTTACAAATGTGTTGAATGTGGGAAGGCCTTTAGCCATGTGTCATCACTTACTAACCATCAGAGCACTCACACTGGAGAGAAACCATACGAATGTATGAACTGTGGGAAGTCTTTTAGTCGTGTGTCCCATCTTATTGAACATCTAAGAATTCATACGCAAGAAAAACTCTATGAGTGTCGTATATGTGGAAAGGCCTTCATTCATAGGTCATCTCTCATTCACCATCAGAAAATCCATACTGGAGAGAAACCTTATGAATGTAGAGAATGTGGGAAAGCTTTCTGCTGTAGCTCACACCTTACTCGACATCAAAGAATTCACACTATGGAGAAACAATATGAATGCAACAAATGTCTCAAAGTCTTTAGTAGCCTCTCATTTCTTGTTCAGCATCAGAGTATTCATACTGAAGAAAAACCCTTTGAATGTCAGAAATGCAGGAAATCCTTCAACCAGCTTGAATCACTGAATATGCATTTGAGAAATCACATTAGATTGAAACCCTATGAATGCAGTATATGTGGGAAAGCCTTCAGTCATAGGTCATCCCTGCTTCAACATCACAGAATTCATACTGGAGAGAAACCCTATGAATGTATTAAATGTGGGAAAACCTTCAGCTGTAGTTCAAACCTTACTGTACATCAGAGAATTCATACTGGAGAAAAGCCATATAAATGTAATGAGTGTGGGAAAGCTTTTAGCAAAGGCTCAAATCTTACTGCCCATCAAAGAGTACATAATGGAGAGAAACCCAATAATGTGGTAAGTGTGGAAAAGCCTTTAGACCATATGAATCACTATACATGTGAGAAACCTTACACAAGAGAAACCATATGAAGCAGTGTTTATCATGGTAATTTTCATTCCTAGATTCTCCCTTATTTAACATTAGAAAAATTTATACTGGGGAAAGTCGTATGAATGTGGTGACTGTAGGAAGACTTTTTAGCAAAGATGTAGGCCTGTTTGTTTATCAGACGTTATACTGTAGGGAAATCATATGAAGATCATACATGTGGGAAAATCTTTGTCAGTATTAATCCCTTAATTGACATAAGTGTACTCACACTAGGAAAAAAACCCTGTACATGTAGCAAATGTGGGAAAGACTAGGCAATAGGAATCTTTTACAAACTCCTACAGGAGACAAGCTGTATGAATGTAGAAAATTTATAAATTGAGGGAAGTCTTCAGTTCCAAGTGTATGCCTTATTCTATAGCAGAGAACTCATTTAAGAGATGTAGCAAAGTGTTCACTAAGAGTGTTTTATCTTGCTACACATCAGAAGATTAATGGTAGAACAACCTGAAGGATTTAGGAATTATGTGTAAATCTTTGCAGTCATGCTATTTGTAAACTGGATTCTACAGGAGAGCAAATAAACATTATAATATGCATTTCTTAGAGCAGTAGCTTGCAGTTTCAGTTGAGTTATACTTAGAAATTCTTTTTAGCTAGTGGACATGTGAAGATATTTAGTCACCCAGAGGAGCCAGTGTTATAATGTTGAAAATTAAAGCTGCAAAAGAAATAAAGTGATGTTAATAAAAGTTTTGGCATCTAATAAAATCATTTTGTATACCACAAACTCTTTTACTGTGACTATTTCTTGTAAAAAAATTTCACTAAGATTAGCCTTAGCATAGCCTTTAGTTGGAGACTAGCAAACCTAGAGAAAAATCACCTGCTCTTTGTACTAAGAATAGCAGTATTTTGATGAGGATTATTCAGTCAATTTCCAGTAGGCTTAATTAAATACATTTCAAGAAAATTTACTGAGCATCACTCATGTGTATTACACAGGGATGGAATACAGGAATTCAGTAGTTCTGAGCTTAGTGATGTGTCAAAATCACTAGGAGGGTTTATTAAAGCACAGATTGCTAAGTCTGAATCTTAGAGTTTCTGTATGAGTTGATATGAATTTGCATTTTTCATGTGTTCTCACCGTCCAGAAAGCACATTTTGATAAGCATTGTAATAATGAACAAAACAAATGTGATCTTTTTCTCACAGGGATGTTATCTGACAAGAAAGATGGATAGCAAGTAAATTTGAAATAATTGTTTACAAGTGCTATGAGGACATAACCAAGAAACAACATACTATAAGAGATCAGAGCAGGCTTAGCTGGATGTGATTTTTGAAATGAATCCTAAATGATGAACACTAATTATGTAATGAGTACTACTCATGTAGCTGTGTGCATCCCTGCTTGTGCCTTTGCATGTGTGTATGTGGTGTACTGGGTGTTATTCTAGGTAAAGTGGACAGTCGAGTTCTGTCACACTTGCTGCAGCTGGACTCCATGTTCCCATGTCTAGTTTCAGATTCTGTGGCTTTGAGGTAGTACTGCTGGCAGCATCATTGGTTTCAGCAACCATTATTTCTCTATCCCTGGATCATAGTTACAGGAGTTTACGTTGAAGTCACTAGTCCAGAAGTGTTCTCATTACTTTTACAGCCCACCTACCAATTTTGAAAGCACTAATTTACAGCAATATATGCCTTGAAATAGTTAAGAGAGTTTTTATTCTCTGCACTGAACCTTGACAGACAATTATGGTTTGTAAGGAGGGAGGATGGCTTCAGATATTCTAACTTCTAGATAAGAAATGGAACAGTCTCACTGGCCCTGTGATTAGAATCCTATCTTGTGATTAAAAAGGTAATACAGATCAATTTGATTTGGAGTGTATGGACACTGATGCAAGTGAAGGGCTGTGATATGGATTGTGCTTCAGATTTTGTTTTATATCTTGGGTGAGTAATAAGATACGTTGTTGTTTTAAAAAGGAACATTATAGATATAATTCTGGTGTGGAATGAGTGATAAGGTTTCTGACTTGCAACAAAATATATCTCCTCTGATATATGTGCGACCTTAACTGAAAGCCAAAGCACAGAGGCATATCCCAATAGCAATTTGCAACAGAAAGTAGGTTTGGAATGGGGTGGTAAATTTTTACTATTTTGCAGGGATTTTATCTTTCATTTATTTTTAATCATGAATTTTATATTGAAATTCTGTGGAACATTGAAGGATCTTTGGAAGATTGATAATTAAGGAAGGGCCAGGTGTAGTGGCTCATGTCTGTACTCCCAGCACTTTGGGAGGCAGAGGCAGGAGGATTGCTTGAGGCCAGGAGTTCGAGACCAGCCTGGGCAACATAGCAAAACTCATTAGTCTGTTAAAAAAAAAAAAAAATTACCCAGGTGTAGGCACACACCTGCAGTCCTAGCTATTCAGGAGGCTGAGTGGGGAGGGACTGCTTGAGTACAGGAGTTTTAAGGTCACAGTGAGCTGTCATCACACCACTGCTTTCCAGCCTGGACAGAACAACAACACAAGAAGAACAACGTCATGCTTAAGGAAGCATGACGTGGTATCAAACAGTTGTGTATGGATAGACTGGCTACCACATATATACTTATGGGATAATGACAGTAGCTTTCTTTTCTCCCATTCTGTGTCCTTTCTCTGCTCTCCCAAGCAACTGGTACCACAAAGATGAAGTAGCCCTATAATGCCCAGATTTTGTTTCCACTACACGTAGTTTACTGCTACCATGTCACTTTGTTATGAGAGGATTCATCGAAATACCTGTGCTTTGTCATTTAAAAAGCATGAGCATACATGTGATAATGCTTTACATTTCTGGATTTAAAGTGCCTTCACAATACAGAACTAGGAAAAAGAAGGCCATCTTTTTAAATGAAGATGGTTTTAAGAAAGCAATAAGAGACTTACTTTGCTATGATAGAAGGTTTGGCTGATGTCATGATGATGTTATGTCGCTGACATTGTTTCCTCAGTTATACCTATTAACCATTTCTTGAGCATCCACTGTGGGCTTAATAGATAAGAAACACTCCATATCCTTTAAGAGCCCCAAGGTGTGTGTGTGTGAAGAGCATTAAGCTTTGGAGTCATGCTACCTGGGTTTAAATCCAAGTTGCATGTATACTGGCTTTGTGTGACCTTGGACAAACTATTTCACTGTGTCATGCCTCAGTTTCTCCATCTGTAAAATGGTAATAAAGCTATCTCACAGCATTATTATGAAGCTTAAATGTATCAATTGGTGCAAAGTGTTTATAACAGTGCCTGGCCTCTCAATAGCATTCAATATGTATTAGCTGTTGATTTCATCATCATTGTCTTCTCATGGTTGCTTCATCATTCTGGTCTCAAATGTCACATCTAATCACTTGTCATTCTTATGTGTTTGCTGTTTAATATTTTTAGGGGAGAGCTCTTACAAAACCCCCTGGTTTCCTTCCAACAAATTCTTGAGTATCTGAGCCATTTTGAAGGAGAGAATGTTTCTTGCCTTAAATAATCTGAGGAGAAACAAAGAGACCAGGTAGGAGATGAGATGGGAACCTAGCAGGTCTATGGGAAGGAAGGAGGGTGCCCTACAGATTTGGAAAATGGGCCGAGTGAAGGAGGCATCAGGCTTCCACATGAACATTCCTTCAAAATGTTCTTGAAAAAATATGTAGAAATTCATATATTTCCAGATAAACAAAAGTGGAAGGAGTTATCACTAGACCTGGTCTGGGAAAAAAAAAGAAAAAAAAAAAGTAAAGGAAGTCTATCAGGTTGAAATTAAAAGAAGCTCAAATGTATGCAATGACAAAACTCCATGGACATAATCAGTACTGGAGCTCAAATTACATTTATACTGGGGGATCCCATTAAATTTAAGCATTGTGCCTCTCCTATAATCTTGAAGTCACTATAAAATAGAGAAAAAGTAGGAATGCCTCACTTTAAATGTAGCCTTGCCTATATTTCCCAAGTCATAATACCCATTGCTCTATAATATCCCATATTGGAGCATAGATGCTCTAACATAAATAATAAATTAAGGTAGGTCTTTTACAAACTGGCTTGATAAAATGGGACCCCATGAATACCTAGTTAAAATAAGTTAATCTGGTCCAATATAGGGTACAACAGGGCCTTCAAGAGTTAAAACCTAATTAATAAAAAGGCAGTTACCCCAACTGCTTTTCTATTTGATATCCCAATCTTGCCAGTTAAACCTGGGGGATAAAAAAGGTAAAGTGCCTCATGGTGCATTACTACAACCTTAATGTGTTCCCACCAATTAGGGTCCCCATATAAAATAGCTAATATTAAAATTACTGATTCTATTAAATCAATAACCAGCTCTTATAGATTTGGAGAGTGTGTCCTGTTCCAGGCCTATTTCAATAACCTGTCAACTACAGTTCACCTTCATTTCTGAAGGGACACAATACTCCTGTTTCAGCTTACCCGTGGGGTACTTCAGCAGCTCTGCCATCACACACATTCTTTGCAAGATAGTCATAGCTGCATCCATTTTTCTCCAGGAGCACAGGGCGGAAGGCTGGATTGAGGGTGCTTATTTCCCTTGGACTCAATGACCATAGAGACTGTTCCATGGTTCAGGCAGCTACTCATCTGCTGTGGCACCCATTTGAGCCTAGACTCCCACAAAGAAAAACAGAAGATCTGTTAAGTGCACTGCACACTGTTCTGGTAACTATTGGTCTCCTTACTGCTGGTTGGGATGATTCACTGGTTTTCAATTCAGAGGTCTAAACTCCCCAAATAAACCTCAACCAAACATGGCAAATGCTGAGTTGCACATCAACCTGAGAAGGTACCCATTTAAAAAGGACACCCAAGTTCCACATCTCAGATGATTTCACCCTTGCCCAGAAGCTCACTGCTGGAGATGACATTGTCCCAGCCCAAGTCTTTGCCATTGTAGATGACTTTACCTCTTGTGCCAGGGACAGCTTCACCCCAGATATGAAAACCTCTGTCCCCGTGGTGCGTATGGAGTGCCTCTCCTAAGGCATGCATTAAACATGGGATATTTATGCTTTTCTCCCTTGGATGTTAAAGGTTGTCTATGTTTCTGAACTTGCTGTCTGTCTAACCTATGATTCTGGTATATTCCTTGGTCTCTGCCAAAATGTACACCCTGCACTTCCATGTCTAACAGTAAATCTAGCAGAGGTTACTACTATCTATGCCATTCTAAAAATTAGTGGAAATTATTACTTTCCTCAGGAGGCATCTGCCTCAAATCAGTCAACCCCTTCTCCCACTAGAAAGAGTACAGTTTACTCCCCGATGCCTTTTCCTACTCTCACCCTGTATCTCCTACTATGATCACTCTTTCTCCTTGATCACACACAAATACCACTAACCTTTACATATACCTTACTATCATTTCATACCCTCCAACATTACAACTGTCAAACCTGTCACTTTGACCTGAACGTGTTTCTAATGCACTTAAAACACTACCAAGATATTGTTAGTGACCCTAAAGATTTCAGAACTACTGTCTTGGATAATACCATATAAATAAATAAACTCCCAAAGCGCCATTTGCTTAAATCCACCACCTGCCTTCATCCTCACCAGGGATGACTACATGTTATGACCAAGTCAACCTATGGGCTTACTATTTGTGCCCAGGAGCCAGCCACCAGTGGCCAATTCCCTACCCTGAGGCCTTCACCCTCCTTACAATATTCTCATGGGTACAGTACACTCTGAATAATGGCACATT